GAGGGGAAGTGGTAGTGGTAGTGGTAGACGTTGTGGTCGTGCTACTGGTGGTGGTGGTACTGGTAGTGGTAGTCAGCAGGTAGTAGTAGTAGTAGTAGTAGTAGTAGTGGTAGTAGTGGTAGTCGTGGTAGTAGTAGTAGTAGTAGTAGTAGTAGTAGTAGTAGTGGTAGTAGTAGAGTAGTGGTAGTAGTAGTAGTAGTAGTAGTAGTAGTAGTAGTCGTCGTAGTGTTGACATATAACATGTAATCAGTATATAAATTTCTGACCTGAGAGCGTGAAGCAACCTAGACCGGGATTTTGGCTTTCGGGTACAACGACTTAAGGCTTTCGAGTTTGGTCCAGGGAGAACAGCGCCTGGGCATTGAAAAGCGGCACAGCTGCTGGACATGTTTTCTCATCTCAACGCTGTCTGCGTGCGCGAGCCACAAGAGGGCCACCCTTTCGGGACTGTCACCCTGCGCCCTTGACCGGAAGGCTCTCGCAGCTCACCGAGTTCCAAAAAAGGCGCGAGGTGCACTACTCTTACAGGCTTGTACCCCTCCGCCCTTGGCTCGATGCCGAAAACTTATGGCCGTAGCACTCCTGGCAGGTCTCATGCGAGACGCTGAACGAAACGAGGTTTCTGCGAAAGACTTCCAGTGCAGCCGCATACACCACTTCGTCAATGTCATCGTGCCACCCCTGAAGCTGACGGGTGTCGTAGTCTTGGTCTGCGCTCTTTCCATCGTAGCTGGGCCTCGTGTCTTCGAACTCGAAGGCGTTACATGCTCCTCCGAACATCTTGTGAAAGAGGCAGATTGATAGGTCCCACTCTTCTGTGATGCCCACGAATGCAAAGCCGTCATGCACCCTCCGCGCTGCCTCAGTGGCGTCTCGGCGCGTTACCTGCGGCCGGCGTGGATGCAATGCTGTCATGGTTTGGTTATCGGCAGTCAGCTGATAAGTTACACCGCCTTTCCACGTCCTGGCAAAGTCCAGTAGCGGCCTTTTGGGCAAGCCCTGCACCACAGATCCGGTGCAGTTCCCCCCGTTCTGTTGGATCTCGTGGTGTGACGTGTCGATCAAGAAGTTGCCGTAGTCCTCTGCTGCAAAGTTGTTAGCCTCGTCGTGGTAGGCGGAAAGGATGCGCTGATCAGGATTGCGGAACATTCCCACCAAGTGGCCCCTCCGGGCGGAGTAGCTGGTTACAGGGACATGTGGCAACGATGACTGCTGGCAGACGTAACGGTCTGCATGGCATTCTTGTGGGCAACGCTCCTGAAATCAGGGTACTGGTCAGAGAGAGCATGAGCATTCCATCACTTTCGAGGTGGAGCTCTACCGTGGCACCAAGGTTGCGTGGGCTGACGGGTTCTTTACGGGTATCTCCAGGCTTGGTTTAACGCATTGCTGTCTCTGCTTTCGACGAGAGCTGTTTGGTGCTAAACGTGAATGGTCTTGGGTCATTGATGGGGCATTATAATCATTCATGACTTCGGCAAACATAAGGTTGCAGCACAAAGGTCCGTGAACCAGCGGGACAGCCAGCAAGCCCCGCCGCCGACGGTGTCTTTGTTGATGGCATGCTTGACCAAAGATGGGCAAGCTAGGTGGGCGATGGCGTTGACAAAGGAGCTGCCGGTCTTTGGGAAGTGGACCCATTCCAGCGGCTGAGCTTCTTTCAAGCTTCGTTCCTTCACTCCTTCGAGGATGAGCTTGTGCTGAAGAAGCTGCATTTGCATTGTCTCGTACTCTCTGTGTATGTGTTGTCTCGATGCCAGAGACAAGGCAGGGAGTGACAGCGACCAGAAAAGAGACAGCATGGCTCGCACGGAAAGGCACCGTTTGGGAAGATGCCCAAGTTACTCATGGATGGATATGGATGGTTCGGCTTCGAGCTGGCATGGCGCGGGACATGGTCATCAAAAAGATTTGCGCCACTGACAGGCTGACCCTGCTTCTGGGTGACCAGCGGCGGAGGCCGGCCTTCTGGAGGTGTCCTGAGCACCTCCAGTAGAACTCACATCGGAGAACAACCCAACTTCTTGGTTTACTCCGAGGCACAGTGGACAGCCATCGCATTCCCACCTAGGATCGAATCTCCATGCGACTCTCCGACAAGGGGCCACTGCCGTTTGCCTGCCGGGCATCACACCCAAGTTCTCGTCTGCAGATCCACACCGAAGCTCCTCCTCTCCCACCTCAATAGGGGAGCGATGCAAGCAAAGCAACACACAAAAATCAGACTCCACCTTGGCCCCGCTCCATTAAAGTCACCTCGTAGATTAGCAGCTCCCGGAAGGGAAGCGTCTGCAGCTGGCCTCCGCAGGGACTCTGCTTCCGAACAGGTTCAGAATGGCGAACTTCGGGGGTCGCAAGCAGAACCCCAACTGACTGCACCTGTCCACAGCATCACACGGGTCACCTAGGTACGTGTGCTGCGAGGTCAGCCGATTCTCGGGCTCATGGGCTTACCGCACTCTGGTCCTTGCCACCTGCAAACTGTTAAGCTGTTGACAATGTACTCTGCGTCAAGCTCCAAGCGCCAAGGCTGCCTCCAGGCCATGCGTGCGCGGCTCGTTCCAGGCGCACTGAGGTACTGCATGTCCCAAAGCCACCCACGTGAGCATCGCTCCCGACGATAGTCTCCATCCTTGCATATGGGAATATACCCCCCGTAAACCCTAAGTCTAAACTCCTCTAAACAGATGCAGCTTCTTGCTACGAGTTACAACCAGCGGCCACAAATACCCGCAAATAGCAGCATGGTGTGATGAGGCTGAGGGCCGCGCAACTGCCAAGAGATCATCTTCGCTTGGGTGAGAGTTGCTCCACCTTCGCCAGGGCCTGCACAAGTACGTCACTGCGCCGCTGTGTTGACACGTCTCGACTGTACTCGACACCCTAAGCCGCAGTCGCTTGCTTGGCCATGATCCAACTTGAAAGGAGACTCCAGGTGTGTCCAAAACACAGGTGTACTTAGTTCTACATGTCCGAAAGGTCGAAGAGACAAGACCTTTTTGAGCAGAATCTCCGCAGATGACTCGTGCTCTGTTTCTGATAGCTGTCCATACGTGTGAGCACACCAGCCTGAGGCAACTACTTCGGCATTCACTGACGGCCTAAACCTGTAAAAGCGTCTCCAGCCTGTGAGAGGAAAGAACGGGCTGTTTTAAAGGCCTGCTTTTTGCACAAGCGGATAGCATGCTGAAGTCCCGCTACCAGCCCTCGACAGCTAGTTTACTGACATCGGAGGTCCCTCCTTTCGGTAGGCCAACTGGTATGTCTTCCTATCCTGGTGCCGTGAGACCAGTGCTGAGTTGTTGGACACCCGAGCTCTGCAACAAAATCGACCAAGGTGGCCTCGCAGGCTTGCAGCCTCGCTGACCTGAGGCGACCTTTGCAAAGCAAGCCAGTTGCGCAAGGCAGCATTTGTTCGGGCAGGTGACAGGTGAGGAGCTCTTGTTGGGTTCAGCGTATTTGCGCGGCATCGTGTCCGAAAAGCATGCGGCTGTCAGTCCTCATAATTTGCCCGTCCTCTTGCACGTTGCACCGTGCTGGACGATGGCTTCATCACAGCGCTGAGACGAACATCGGATTGGTGGTCTTCGCTCACATGCTATGCCTTCGAGTATCCTGCCGAGATCAAGAATCCCTGAACCTTGAACCTGCACAAAAAACTCTTGAAACCCAACAGTGCCACCTCGCACTGTCACCGATGTGCGAGGGTATGGCATGTCTCTCGCGGTCAAAGCGTCATAATGCATCGACCCCGGAACACCAGAACTGGTCGAAAAGAAGCCCTGGCCTCAAACCCTCCCAACTTCGGTCACGAGACGTACGGCGGCCCTAGCGTTGACGGAATGCACTGTGATTGCAACCCACATCTGGTCAGAACAGCATAGCAGAGCTGTCCAGCTTTAGCCAAAGACCCAGCTGATGGCCTGCGCTCTAATATTCCTACCCTACCTTATCCCACCCGCTCCTACCCTCACGAAAAGCAGACTCAGTTCAAGACATTTCCCATTGGGAGCCACTGTTCTCCACCCCCTGGCTTGGTCTTGTGCATCTTCAGGAGGCATCGGGTTTTCCACCACGTGAAAACCGCAGCAGGCAGAACCTTGGAACAAGAGGATCTGCCTTTCTCCACTCTGCTGGGATTGATGGAAGTCCAAGGCAGAAGCACAGCCCGCACTCGCATCTCCCAAATATCCATCTGGAAAATAGCTAAAGGCCTTGCACTCCTGCCCATAGTAGGAATCCAATATGTTTGTCGCAAGAGCTCGCTTCTCTCGTCCTGCGTCTCGCGACATTGCAAGCGGCCTTGGCACGCCATAGCGGACATTAGCTCACAAGGCTCCACTTGAGGTCTGAGCAGCCAGCAGGCTGCTGCGCTGGGCACTTCTTTGATGAAGCCCAAATCCTCAGTTCATCGCCGTCCCTGATGGGGAAACCCATATGATATATCATAATATATATATATATATAATATATGAGGGAAGCCACGAATCCAGCACAGTAAGCCTCTGGCCATTCCTACTCGATCCCGGCCAACCTCCAGGCAGCCACCTCGCAGCGTTGCCCCAGCATCAAGATGAAGAAGCTTTGGCGCAAGGCCGCACAGCTTGCCTAGATCTGCGCAGTCGCGTAATCCGTAGATGGCACCAGAATGAGGTGACCAAGGTGCCTCACACAAGAAGAGCAGACATACAAAACACAAGCTGTGCTGCGGCAAGTGTTGACCGTCTGAAAAAACGAGCTTGGAATCCCAGCATCGATTGTAGCCCGGAGGACACAGACCTGCAGCGCTAAGGTTGCACGTGTCTGTTCCTCAATTTCAGGATGACCCGAGCACTGCGCTCGGCGAAGGCCCAGAATGGCCGCTACCGGAAGCCTGGCGCAGCTGACATCACATCGTCGCTCCGAACGGCACAGATCGCCTGCAGCCCACCGGCTCCCAGTTGTCCGGGAAGTAGGTCCATCCGCCTCACAAACAAGGGCTCATGTCAGGAAGAATCCGTCATTCAAGCTTGGGATTGGGGCTCAAGAACAGCACCGATTGTTGCGGACCTGAAATATGATGAAATACTCAGGGTTTTTGGAAGTGCTCGGCTAAACCCTTAAAGATATGGAGTAGGTCTGGTGGGTTCTTGCGCAGGACAGCTGACAATCCATATTGTGGCATGCTCAACTACAAATCTTGACAATTGCACGAAATCCACACCTCAAGAAGAATCTTCAACTACGGTCCGGAAAACTCTCCTGGGCTTCCCGTGACTGTTACCGTTACCGCTGACACACACACACACACACATCCCACCACCCTCGCGCCACAACCAGAGTCCTCTTCACAGCGGTTCTGGCACTGGGCTGCACCTGCAACACGGTCTTTAACGATACTCTGCTGCTGACAAGACAAACGAACATAAGGAAATGCCATCGAACAAGCATGCGGTCACTTTGTGGATGAAGCTTTGCGGCGCCTGCCAAAGAATACCTGCCCTGCGATTGCCGTTCGCTTCAATTTAATCTCGGCGAAGACTGCACGCACGACCGACCCAACACGAAAGCCATTCCTGGATTTCACGGACCGAAGAACGCGCGAGAAAAATCACTGTTCGGGATCACCCTGTCGAACGACTGTGGTCCAAAAGGTGAATATTGCCGCTACACTTTCCATCTGACACACGCACACAGAGTTTCCGGAAAGCTCGACATGCCTCCACGCAGACCATGCTCACTCAGCACTCACAACAGTGACATAAACTTCTGCAAAGGGTCTCCACACAAATACTCCGTCAAGTGTTTAAAGAACAGGTGTTGTGGCCTGGAACGCGTCTCGAAGGAAACACAAGCTGCACACTGCCGGGATTGTGGTCACGTTCTTTGATTACATCTAGAATCTGGCTCCAAGAGCAGGGCTGTGCAGACGCGGCGGCTCTAGCCTGGGAAACACCGAAAGCGCTGTTCAGATGTTCCAAACTACCACTCAGCAGCTGGCGAGTAGTACTCGTGTCCCCAAAGATCTTCTCCTCCATAGCGGCGATAGCCCTTAACCCTAAACCCTGAACCCTAAACCTTAAACCCTAAACCCTAAACCAGGGAGGCGGACGAGTCCTCGCCAACCACAGCCTGCCCAGAGGCGGGAGGCCGGGCCACAGCACCTGAAAGAAACTGACACTGATTTTATTTTTGATGGCCTAAGTTTAGGGTTTAGGGTTTAGGGTCTTCCTGCTGATGGGACCGGCCGCACTTGGTACATTTCGGTCTTCTCGACTGCATCCAATGATTTTTTGGGGGGCCATTTAGCCCAGGATTCGCCAGACGAGCTGAGCTTCAGTGCAACCAGAGGAACACATTGTCTGCACCTGCTGCAGCTCCAAAACTACAGTAAAGCCTGGAGCAGCTCAACGTTGGAGCCACCAGGAACTGTGTCCAAGCACACGCCGCCGAAAGAAGCAGCGCTGATTACGTCCACTGTTGGAGCTCACAACCACTCCTCCAGTGACTGCTGCTTGGCTTGGCACTGGCTGTTTAAAGCCAGGCTTTCTTACACCAGAACATGATGTGTATTCAGTTCTGTTCGAAACAACCCCAGCCACATGCAGCAGCTCTTTCGCAGGACCGGACATCTTTCAGGTAGAAGACTAAATGCACCGACAGCTGTCTTCTGCCCAGGTCCGTCGCTCCAATAGAACTCCACCACGAATCACTCGTGGACGGAAGACAAGGGCTGGCTCTACACTGGCTTCAGCAGTCCCAGCGCCAAACCCAGAATTTCAAACGTATCGCTAAGCTGGTTTGAACTTTACACAGGGCCGTCACCCCGAGGCTCCAAGCAAGTCAGTCTGATGGGACAGTATCACAACGTCTTGAGAGAACCGTACGCGTGTATCCTGTCTTTTTGAATCATAGAGATGCCCTGATCTTGAACTGATCTTGTGGCCTCGCGCAACCCTATTAGTTCTTGGGTTTCCCAACGGCAATCTCAGCCATCAGGAACTGTGCCTTTACAAGCACCTTCCGAAGCACACGGGAATCCCTCGCTATTCAAATTCGCTGCGGCCATGAGCAACAGCAACCACAAGCGGGAAGGTGCTGCTGCAAGCAGTCAGCATTTGCAGTCACAGCAATTTCTGACAGCTCAAGACAAAAAGGCATGGTCTAGGCAGCTACGCACTATCACTATCTATGCACTATCATTCATGGTGCGGCATGCGAGCCGCGCGAGGCATTGCGAAGCACGGCTCGCTTGATTTCTTTCTTCTGCTTGCGGCGGCGGCGCGGTTCATCTGCACCGCAGAGGTGGCAATGAAGGCAGTGCCGTCCATTCTCACAACTCTGAGGTTTCCAGTACCACGCGCATGGCTTGCACAATCCCTGTGCGTGCAGCACTGACCCTATGGACTCCATAGGAATACGGCCAAGAACAAGAGTTTCTGCTGTTGGGACCTCTCCTGTGTGCCAGAGGTTTCCCGTCCCGCCTCCCGGAGGCTTGAAGATTGATTGGCCAAGTTTTTCTGAATTTAACACATCGGGATGTTCTATGCTGTACTGGTGCTGCCCGCATTGACCGCGAGGTCTCCAACTCCTCCAGCAAGAAAATGTCGAAGCTTCGCGGATCTCACGGGCCACAGGACTCTGCAAAATTCCATCTGGGGCGGAAAGCTGGCAGTCCGTGCCGTCGCAGTGAAGGCCCGACGACCAAAACCATGCACATGGCTTTCCAGGGGACTTGCCATCTCCATGACCAGGGCAAAGGCCTAGTGAGTGCGCAGCTTCTGGACCGTACGGGAGTACCCCTCTGTCCTCCAATTCTGCTCTGCGAGGGCAGGATGCTGTCGGGCCTGGGGCATGTGCCCCTTGCCAGGAACCTGCGACTGAAATCTCACTCTGTGCCTCGCTGAAATCCAGAGAAGCCAGAGAACCCTGCGAGATCCCTCTCGTGACATCTAACGACAATGTAAGAGCGTGGCGTTCATGGCTCATCTCTTTTGCAGGTCTCTACCTCTTGGGAATGCCTTTGATTGAGGCCACAAGGCAGACTGGAGCCAGCAGGCGGGCGAGCTGCTACAGGAAAGCAAAGGCTGCGCTCAATCTGAGACTGCCCAAGTGCTCACGAGCCGAGTGTCAGGCATGTTGAAGTTCATCCGCCCCGCCTCAAGTTCCACTTTCCCCATCCCTGACAGCCCTAATGGCAGAAATACAGATGATCAAACCATCTAGCAGGCAGCACGGACGGAAGAAAAGGACCGCGGACCGTCGTACAACGACAGAACCAAACTATGACTTCAAGATACTTCAAGCTTGGAAACATGGGTGGGTGTGAAGACACCTCCGAATCTCAAAAACGCCACTGACCCTTCAAAAGTGCAAGTCTCGACTATGGCCCTCTGAAGAGAAGTTTCCGCCCTGGACTCAGTACTGTAGGCAGTGTTTTAGACCGGTACGGCTACACGTAATTTCCGATCCCAGCCGATCCAGCTGCAAGTTGTCCACCCCCATGCTTCTAGGTGTCGGCGCTTTGAGATGTTCGTTTCCAAGCCGCTAAGCATGTAAGCACTTTCGAACCAAGCCGCAAGCAATGTTATCATTTCTGGCAGCCGATCAAGCACGCGCAGGATTGCATGCGGCCCCCACGTGTATGCTTTCTGCCGCTGCCTGGCTGATCCAACGCATAAGGAACTGTGAGGCCAAGCATGTGTTCAGACCCATGACAGCAGTGAACCGCACGGGCATTCTTCGCGCACAGCTCTTGATGGTATTTGTCGGCCACATCTTACGGCACCCACAATTTGGTCTAGGTGCAGTGGTGAGTATGTTTCGATCATGCAACACGGCTTTTGACACCACGCCATACCACGCTCAGAGAGGTTGTGAGCCGAACTTTCCTGGTCCTGCCACGGCCTGTCGTCTGCAACAAATCTCCGCGTCTGGGCAGCTGCGTTCCGTGCCATGACCAACACACCCACCCGTCCCTGAAACGTTCTGAAACCACGGTTTTCCTGCCGTGGGACAGAAGATGGCCGAAGGAAGTTCATTGAACTACTGTGTATCTCCGACTTCACTCAGCCACCAGCCCAACAGGCGCTGTCCCCCAGAGGTCCTTTGGACAAATCGCAGCCTCACAGCAGCTCGGCGATAGAGTGTGGAAGCTCTTTGACAATATGAAGACAAAGGCTGCTGCACCGCTGGCAAGAATGAAGTTCATCAAAGCATCCCAGAATCACATCCTGCAAAGCATTGGACACACGAAGCTGTGGGCCGTACTGACTAGAGTCGCAAGACATCTGACTACAAACACCGTGCAAGAAGATGCACTGGGCGTCGGAAGTGTCCTCACCCTCGCAGAGCTGCGGCCTCCGCTCTTTTCAACACTCACTTTGGGTGGCTTAGATGTATAATCCCCTGTGCGACGAACTTGGCATGCTGCCGGTGCCACTCTGGTGGCCCTGCTGTCTGCAACCTTGCGAACCGGACCAGTTACACCAGTTACCCTTACGACTCAGACTAGTTACACCAGTTACCCTTACTCGCAAATGCTAACGAAAGTCGCGCCCTGCAGAATCACTCAGGCTATCGCAGAGGAGCAAAGTGGCTGAGGCGAGACAGTGTCCAAAGCGGATCCCAGGCCTAGGTGCGTGTTCGCATCAAGCAGACACTTTCTCGAACGCTTGACGAGATTCAGTTCAGCACTGGCAGCTATCAGATGTCTTTTCCTGCACCATACTAAGTATACCTGGGGCCGACAATGGCTCCAGGGTCTTCATCGGCTTCAGCGCAAATACCTGAGGAGCGGGTGCCATAGACTGTAGAAACCACTTGTCTTCTTCTTCATTCTAGCTGCAAGCTTACGACTTCTGCCTACACCCTTTGCGCACCACTTTGGTGGCGAAACGGCACCGAGTGGCTGAAGATGAGCGAGCTTACGGGCTTCTGATGGAAGAGCACGCCGCAGAGCGCCCCAAGGCTGCCCAGGGCGAGGCACCGGCGCCCTAGCCTCCGGCACGAAGTGGACTCGCACTGAAACAGGCTACAACTCTGATGTGGTCATCTCCGCGGCGGAGGTTGCTGTCACATTGCGTGAGACGTCGACAGGCCTTTGTATCCGCCTCGGGGGAGATTCCGGGAAGCCCTCTGTGAGCTCGTCCAGCGACTCTGGCAAACGCCACTTCAGAAGCTGTGCATCCTCATTGGCCTCGCGACGGGTCAGGTTGTCTGCGCCTGAAAGGGCCTTTGAGGATCCCAATGCTGCAGACATCTGCAGACTGCAGAAGCTGAAGTTGGCCCCCGGGTTCCAATGACTTTAACTTTTTGAGAACCCATGCCTCCCGACTTTCCATCTGCTCCGAGGCCAGCACCTGGCAGAGTGCAAACCCTGTGGCAGCAGCGCTTGGAGTTACCGGAGCTGGCCTTCGGACTTCGTAGCAGGGCAGCGAGCAGGGCGGAATCCGTCGATAGGCCCTGCCCCACTGGAGTTCGGACAAATTGGGACAGGGACAGGGGTGTTGTCTTTACGCGCTGAACGCTGCATAGCATCGATTCTAAATGGCAAGGTCCTCGGTTGGATTTATGTGCAGCGGCCCGCGCCGGCCCACCTCAAATCAGTGGGCATCCCATGCGTCATCCGGTGCTTGTGGACTCCCTTGCCCATGCCCCTCGAGTCTTCACAGCTTTGCGGCAGGCTACTGTAAGAGCGCAGCTCGGGACTGGCCACCTGAGCTGTTTGCAATATGCAGCCTCAGCCAACAACTCAGAGCATCGAAAAGCTGGGTTTCCGGCCCTCGGAGGATGGAAGGCTGCACAAGTGGCGAAAGCTTGGCCGGGTGTCTGCCACGAAGCCAGACCGCCGCAGCAGTGGCTTGGCTTGTTGCGCCTCCTGGGAGCTGGCAAATGCTGTAGCGTTTCCCGACTAGGACAGCAGAGACATGCAGAGACAGAGTCCGCTCCTCCAGGCGAAGATGGCGAATCAGGAAGGGACATTGCAGCAAGACATCGACCACATGGAAAGCGGCAAGCAGCTCGCCGCTAGCTCTGACAGACTCGTCGGAGGCGGAGCACGCAGGCCCTCAGGCGCTGTGCGGCGCAGAAAACATGCTGGGACAGCTGGAACTTGCACGACTCTTGCACGCCTTCAGGAGGTCCAGCGGCACTTCGCGCTTGCTCCTGGCTCCCGGTAAGGACAGAGGGGCTTCTGGAGGCTTTCAGTCTGACACAACGCAGCTCGCATCCTTCCTCTTCCTGCCACGGAACGAGAACCAGCACCTCCTGAAGCTAAGGCGCTGGACACGCCTAATTAGATGCCGTATCATACACTAGAATAACACTAGGCACAAAGCGCTTTCAGGGAGAGCCGACACGAGCCTCGCCTCCACGAAGCCGGCGGCAGCATCCCTGCACCACATAAGCTCCAAACTGTCAGGCTAGGCTGATAAAATGGAAGAGACAGCTGCGGGCCTCATTTGACGGGGCACCATCCACAAAGCAGCAAGAGGCGGCAGGGCACCTCTGCGAATGAGGTCCGCGAGCAGCACCCAGGGGTCAAGGTTCTTATCCACGAGTGCAGCCCTTGCCTTGCTGCTCATCCTATGCATGCACCTCCCACCTGTCGGAAAAATCTCTAAACTACCCTTCCGCATCACGCCTGTGAAAAGGCACTTGGCTGAGTTGACCTGGTCTGCTGCCCGACAAGCTACATACATCTACATACTATAGTTTCAAAACCGGGAAGTGCACCTGCACAAGCCACAGCCGCTGCCAGAGGCATCGACGGCACGGCCGACGCGGCAGCGGCCGCACCGCCAACGCCGAGGAGGCTGCCGAGAAGGCCTTCTGATGTCAAGCGTTGCAGGAAAGGTTCATGGAAAGCATACGGCGTGGAGGTGTGACTCGGTATGACCTCTCACGTTCTTTCGTCCATGAGGACCATGAGAGACGGCAGCCCCGGGGAACCGAGTCGTGGCCGCCGCACTTGTCCTGGACCCTCCGCTTCCCTCCGATTTTTGCAGCATTCCTTTTTGGACTGGCTGCCAGTCATCTTCGGAGATGCTCGCTGCAAAGTAGTTCTCCTGAGACTGCTCTATGAGATCCTCGCGAGACAAAATCTCGCCTTCGTCCAAAAGGGCATGGATAGTGTCGAGATCTGTAACCGTAGTGGCTCCGGGTAGGGCATGGTGCTGCCTTTCAGTCCGTCTAGCATGTGGTTGATCTCAGCTCTGCGGACTCTTTGAAGAGGTGTTCCTTGCGGACTTGCGGCTCTCCAGCCCCGTGCAAGTCCCCTTCAGCTATGAAGGCTCCTTCTTCACGTCGTTGATACTCTCCATTTGCTGAGGGAATGTGAAACCATTCTCATGACTGATTCACGCTCGCATAACTTGCTGATGTGTGACATTGTGTGACATGACCATTCGAGAATTGCTTGCATCTCCGCATCGGCATGTCGCCCTCCTGAGACATAGACGATGAAGCTACACCCATCTCGGCCGCCGCCTGGGAAGGTTTTTCCTCTGACGTGTCAAAAGCTGGATTGTCCCACGGGTAGCTCTCCTTTCGGACAGTCAATCCTGCTCATCAACGCACTATCAACCTAAATGGCTCTTAGAGTGAAGAAGCACACAGCCAAAGACAAATATCGAGAAGTACAGGAAAGCCCGAAAACTCGAAAAGCCGAAAAGTATCGAAAAGTCTAAAAAAAACGAAACGCCAAAAAGCCCTTTAAAAGTATGGAAAAGCATAGGAACACGCGAAAAGCCTGAAAAGTGTCGAAAAGCAGACAAACACGCGCAAAGTCGAAAGCTTTTCGACATTTTGACTTTTCGATTTTCTTTTCGGATCTCCGCTTATTTAAACCAACTGCGGCTTGCGCACTTAGCAAAAATCCTGCTGAGTCTCAAATGAACTTAACGGAATGGCTACCAGCTGCCTGAAAGTCTGAACCGAGGCCGTCACACTGCCGCCATGTATTCTCAGCCAGAGCTGGCCAGTCGAAGCGACTGCGAAAGATGCGCACCTGCTCGAATGCAGGTCGCTCGCCGTAGCCGTAGCCGCATCTGGCAGACTAGTAACTAGTAGACCCAGACCCAGCACCACTGCCTGCTTCGTTCCCACGGGAGCAAAAGGAGCTTTAGACGTCGGGCTCTCTCCAGCACGCCATGTAGGCACACTAAACCTCCAACGACCGTTGTTGTGCATTGCCATGCCATGTGCCGGACAAAACTGACAGGACATGGGCCCAGGCTTGCGACACTGTCGCCACAGTTGCAAACGGCAGCGCGCCATCAGCGTTCTTTGGCACTTTGGCCGTTACAGTTCGATGTCTAGCAGGACATGGGCAACTCACTCATTGCAGTATGCATGGTCGAGTAGTGAGTGGGGGATCATGGGGGATCCGAATGGTGCAGGCAGGCCTCACGAGGGGGTTTGTGGATCCAATACCACGGCTGTGGGGGCCAGCTACTCAGTCAGCTGCGAAGATCTCGTTCCGGGCGCCGCGAATGCTTCAGCATCAACACCAGCGGCACAATTCTAACACTAATTTTGCCCGTCAGCTCAACTGGTCATGCCAATGCGTGGAAATTGAGGCCGCAGCATGTACGCGCATAAATGTTCTCACTACAGATGTCACCTGACAAAAATTACGTACTATTGCTGTTCATCAAGTCTGGGAACGGCCCCTGCAGGATAGCTCTGAGGTCCTGAACGCCACGCCGACGTGAGGAGCCCTCCGAGGCAGGGCAAAACCCCGGCCTCGGAAATGGAAAGTCGCGCGGTTATTTCATTATACATTGTCCGATGCATATATGACTCATAGTATACGTTTTGTGCATGTGATGCGCATTTTCCTCTCAGGGCTGCTCGCAGAGTGCACTGCCTGTGCGTCATAGCGGACTACGCTGCCGGCGGGGAATCTCTGCGGTTGCCTGGCACATGCGACAAGATATACAAGTCGCAGCGCATCCGAGTCCGCATGGAATGCGGTAGCCGGAGGCACGCATCTGGACCTGTCAGATCTTCGCACGCGTCTCGGAGATGCCCCGGATGCTCGAGCAAAGTCGCCTTCTGGATAGAAGAGGGTCCTGAAAGGCGCGTCGCTCACGACGAAAAGGTCGGAACCAGGCCAGTAGTCATCGTGATGCGGCCTAAGCCAGAGCGGGCCATCAGTGCGCTTCAAGAGTGCTGAACAGTCCTGAAATTGCCTGCGCCCTCCTGTCCTGCTCCGATGCACCCGGCTCTCGGCTGACAACGATGCTGAGCATTGCTGAGCTAGATGCAAATTCATGAAGACGTCCTGCCTCATGGCGCACTGCAAGGCTATGTAAGGCTGAATGCCTCTGGTCGGATCCGCCAAGCAGCTCATCTTCTGGCTCATGCCCGCGGTGTGCATCCTGCGGTCCATCCCATCACCAAGGGCCAAAGGAGTCGCCAAAGTGTGATCAAAAACGCCCATGCTCTAACCTGTTTCTGCCCCTGGTCCTGCCATCTTGGTTGCTGTTTCGTTCGCACTTGCCGTGCCTTGCCAAGTGCTCGGCATGTACACCATCTTGTTGCAGACAAGTGGCCCTGCCATCATGGTCACCGTGGCATCCCCATTGGAACATCTCGTCCAGTCCACCTCGGGAGAAAAACTTCAGCCCTTCAGCCAAGCAACACGTGAAATGGAGCAGGTAGGCACGCCTCAGGCAAGCTTTCGAGGACAATGTCAAACGCTTCCTGAAACCTGCCAGCTAAGCGAGATATCGTGGGATCCCACGGCCGTGGTCTGCGGTTGTGCTGAAGCAATGCAAGGCATGCCAGATCATGCCAGGCAGGCAGCTACCTAGAACTTTGTACAACACCTCCCACTACCGTTTCCTAATGCCGCCCTGCTTGTATCAGCTTGTATCTTTGATTGGAGTCTGAACGAGATTGGTGGGGTAAGTCCCACGGCGCGCGGGAAGTCGCGATTCTTCTTGCGGAGTGCGATTGGCGAGTTCAAACGCCTCATCGCCCCAAGCACGACAGCTTAGAACATAAACTCCTTCACACCGCCGGCAGCCAACCCACTGCACACCCAAACGAATTCGTGTGATACGTCGCTGGATGTCGCTGGCCATGCAGTCACCTCTCGGAGCCAACTCACCTAGCGAAAATCCATTACCATGTTGGCACAAGCAGCGAGGGCCCGCCAAGAGCCCGTGCATATGGAGGTGCAATGTCACGAAGCCGATTGGCTTCGTCAAAAACATTTCGCTAAGCATACCCCTATCGATGCCGAAATCGCACTTGCTGTTTGGCGGAAACGCGAGTGCTGAGCAAGATGGTGAACATGAAATTCGTGATGACTGAGGTCGCCTTTTCACGTTCCCTTGCGACTTGAAGTACCGAAAGAGCAGCGTCACAAGGAAAAACATTCATGACTGAAATCCTATTTGACGCAACTACATACCATGGTTCTCGTTGCTCCGACCCTGCTGCGGGCCCAAGCCCTACCTATGCCACTATGTGCCGCAAGCTGAGCTGTGGGCTGCGCCAAGTAATCTGGAAGCTTTGGGGCAACGAGGTGAAAGTATTCTTGGCCCCTTGCCCGCCTGAATGCAGTTCTTGAGTGCACGGCTTCGAGGGAGCCCTTCTTCTTAACACTCTCGTGTTGAACACACGGTCACAAGACTTGTGCACTTCCAACTTGGCTTCCAGCGGCTCTAGCGCCAACGGTGTAGAGAAAAGCCTTCTGTTCAAGAGGAAGCCCACCACCTGTCTTGCAGATGTGGTGCACCTGCTTTGAACTGCTGGCAATATTCCGCCCCGACCTTGACAGAAGACCTCAGACAGCTTTAAGAAACTGAACACAGGAAATTCAGAGACTCGAACATCCAAGCACACTTGCATAGGCCCGCTAGGCCTTGGCCATTGTGGTTAAGCCCACGACCCTGGAGGGCGTGCACGGCGGCTTGGGCCTCACGGGTCAACACTTGAAGTTGCAACCAGGCGCAGGAGCAAAAGTCGCCGGGCCTACAGAGCTCATCTCTGCGCGCTACAGCCATGGGGCAGCTGTAGCCGCCATTTGCTCTTTACATGGCTGCCAAGAGCTGTTGAACAGCTGCGGTCTGAAAAGCTGTCCACTGCCGCATAAGTCACGAGTAGTCTGAGGCTACCGATGGCTACCGTGTCCGTGCACATACCAGACTTCCTCAAGGAGGCTTGTGAAGTCCGCATAGTTGTGCATGGCTTGCACTGCCCAGCACTGGGACTGAAATCACGACCGGATTGCATAGTGCTCGCAAGGAGCCGAAACCGTCCAGGCTGCATCCAACGCGAGACTAGGCTCGACGACAAGCCGTGCAGCTGCGAGCGCGCATGCGTATGCACACACACACACACTAACTACACGCGCACGGCGCAGGGTTCTTTCCTAACGCTGGCATTCAAGCTATTGGGGACTTACGATTTGAAGGGTAGTTTTGCCCCAAGCTATTGGGTTTTTTAATTTCGAGGCTCCCGTCTTGTGTCAAACTATTGCGGAATAACCATTTGCAAGGTCCTGTTTGCCCCAAGCCACGGGGGATTACAATTTCGAGGCTCCTGTTTTGTGTGAAGCTATTGGGGAGTTACAGTTTGAAAGGTCCTTTTCTGCCCCAAGCAATTGGGGGATTACAATTTTGAGGCTCCTGTCTTGTGTCAAGCAATTGGGGAATTACAAAATGTGCAGCGTCTTGCTTTGCGTCAAGTTAATCGGGAACTGCAATTCCCCAAACTATTGGGGGATTACAACTTGCAGGGGCGATTGCGGTTCATCATACATACATCTGATTAAACACCCCATCATGTGGCGATTCCGAATCATCGCATGTCTT